TGGAAACGGCAGGGCCATTTCGTTGTGCCGGTTCAGTCTTTGCAGTTGTTGTTGCTGGCTCCGGCGCCGTTTTTGTCTCCCGGTCCCGTCGCTTTTTTTTCTGGTTCCAGTTCCCGCTCCAATCCAGGAGCCGTTTTTTCATTGTTCTCAGGAGCATTTGTTTTACGTGCCGTTTTCATGTTCCAGAGACGTTTTGTTTGGAAACGGGGTAAAACAGGCCTTGCCATTTCTGGAGCCCAACAATGTCAGCTTGTGATTAACAAAAGATGGCCCCTCCCCCGCCACTCCCGGGCGCTGATGAATAGACCCCGCGGGGCTCGAAACATGTTTCAAATCACGCGCGCCAGGGGGTCGTCGCGGGCGCCGCCGAGGGGATCGTCTACCCCCCTGCATGACAGCCTCACAACGATCGCGTTTCGTATAGAAGTTGTTGAAGGGGTCGCATACATCCGAGGAGGATTTGTTTCCCCCTCTCTGGCGTCGTTTTCGTCGTCTTCGTCATTGTCGACTACAGCGGGCCTGCGCACCCCCCCCCCGTGCGGCATCGGCAGTGCGTTGTCGTCGTTGCCGCCGTCGTCGTCGCGTTGTCGACGTCGTCGTTGTCGACGATGTCGTCGTCGTCGACGACTACAGCGGGGCTGCGCAGCCCCTCCTTCCATAGGGCACCCGCAGTGCGTCGTCGCCGTCCGTCATCCTCGTCCTCGTCCTCGTCTTCGTCGTCGTCCTCCTCGTCCTCTTCGTCGTTTTCGTCGCTGTCATCATCCTCGTCGTTGCGTCGTCGTCGTCGTCAACTACACCTGCCTAGTCGTAGTCGTAATCGACGATTACAGCAGGGCTAACCAGCCCCGACCATAGGGCATCCGCAATGCGTTGTCGTCGCCGTCGCCGTCGTCGTCATTGTCGTCGACTGCAGCACCCCCCTGCTGGGGCATCCGCAGTGCGTCGTCGTCCGTCGTCGTCCGTCGTCGTCGTCGTCGTCGTCGTCGTCCACGTCGTCCTCGTCGTCCTCGTTTTCGTTATCATTCTCGTTTTCGTTTTCGTCGCCGTCGTCGACGAGTACAGCAGGCATACTCAGCACCCCCCCCAGCATGAAGCATCCGCAGTGCGTCGTCGTCCGCCGTCGTCATCGACGTCGTCGTTGCGTCGTCGTCGTCGTAGGAGGAGGAGCCCTTTCCGCCTACCTCTTCCGCTCCTCCCCCCTTCGTTTTTCTGAAGCCATGTCGGCACCGCCCGCCAGCCGAGGCGCCTCCTTCCCCCCCCCTCATTTTCCTTTCCTGTCTGTAACCATTTTGGCCCAACCGAAACGCTGTATCGGAGGCGTTTCTGCCCCCCACCGCTGAAGCGGCGCCGTTTGCGTCGCGCCTGTCACCTTCCTGCTGTCGGCCAGATGTCGGCGCTAATCACCGGCGCCTCTGCCGTGCAATTCAATTCGGCGGGCGCACCTCCCGCGATTCGCCCGAGCAGGGACACTTTTTAATTTATCATTAACACAAAATCACGCGCCCCCCACGGTTTTGTTAAACAGAGGCTGACATTAAGGATTGTGCGTGGCGCCAATCCGCGAAGAGGCGCTCGCGCACTGTACCCCGGTTTCGGTAATGTTTTGTTCCATCTTCAATTTTGCGTATCCCATATGATTTTGTTTCGCAGGAGTTCGAGTATGGCGACGCCAGCTTGTGCACGCCGTGTCTACAGGCGTGTTGTTCAGCAACCCGCAGTGCTCGAACAGAGCAGGCCGTTTGTTTGATAACGCGCTGCAGCGCAGGACGATGACATAATGCAGCGGGATGTCCCCAATGATGGACAAGACTGGCATCGGCCGGTGCCTTCCTAACTTAGCCCCTTTTCGGGCCAGAGCGGCAGCTTTGCAAATGTAACTTCCTGGGCAACGTGACAAGGTGATTGCCCAAAGCTGTCCCTGATCGGCAGATAACTCGCATGGCTGAAGATATTCAGATGGCGTCCGGGGACGCTTGGTCGGCAAGGCCTTCGTGCGCTAACACGAACTCTCGATTTTTTGCGATTGCTGTGTTCATTGCGTGGCTTGGTTAATGCCCGCCATCGTTGCACGGGGTGCTGCTGCTTCTGCGAGCACACCCTAGGCACACCCTCGTGATTTTAACCGCCCGCTTCCAACACTAGGGAATCTACAGGGATCACAGGGCGTCCGCCTTTGGACGCTGATTCCTAGTGACCATGTGGCGCAAGGACATTGTCGATCAACCCGGCGCGGATTAAGTCGTCCTTGCTTGGGGACGCGCGTGTCCTCGAGTTCTGGCTCGTCCTGGTGCATCGGTGGCATCTGCGTGTTACACGAATGCTAGTGGCCAAGGTTTTGAGAGTTCGTGACACGGCACGCAGCTCGACTCCCCGAGCTGCTGGCCCGCCGCCGTCCGTGGGCCCGATCGCGAAGTGGGCCCGATTGCGAGGTGGCGCAGCGGTGACGCTAGCGCCCCCCTCGGCGGTGGTTTTCCCGCTATCATCGTTTTCCTCCTCCTCCTCCTCTTCCCCATCCTCCTCCTCCTCCTCCTCCTGCTCCTGAGCTTCTTGTGTCCCCCTCGCTATTCCTTCATTCATCCATCTCTCCCTCTCTATCGCTGTTCTTTCTGTGTGCAAAGGTATGCATTTGGGAGGTCAGTGAATGGACAGAGCAGTGGGAGCTGCTGGGGGGGATCCTGTGGGCATCGCGTTGCCCTGTCAGCCTTCGCGTTGCACTGCCAGCCTCTGCGTTGCACTGTCCCCCGTCCATCGGGGATTCTTGCGGGATGATGCATACGCAGGTAGGCGTGGGCTTGTCCCGCTGACCGATCCCCTGCTGGAGTTGACGATTCCGTCCGGGCCACTGGCATGATCGGGCGAGGTGCCCATGCCTGAGTTGTTGCTCAGGCAGCTCGCATTCTCTGGCTGATCGCAATAAGTTCAGGCCGCTTTTGCACAAGCTCGGCTTGGCTCAAGGCCAAGAGGGGGGACAAATAGCGTTCTGGGCATGGCGGTTGGGTGGGTCAGCGATATGCACGTGTCTCCCTGCATGTTGCGTAGCCTTTCTTCTTATGCTCCTGTGGTGGACGGTATCTCCTCCCGACTGCCGTGCTCTACGGCAATTTCTCGGCCTCTCCACCCGGGGAGGAAGGATCAGGAGATAGAGTTGTGGACGTCGGTTAATGGAGAGGCAGCATGCTGCGAAATAATTTCCAGATGTCTAAACATGTTTCAAGCACGTTCGAAATGTGTAAAAACTTGTTTTACGCATGTTTAGAAAATGTGTTACACTTTGAACCACATCTTTAGTTCTATGACAGGATTGTTAGAGTGCCCATTGTCATGGCATCCACAAAGATAAAGGTTGATGAGGTCGAGAGGGTGTCGGTGGTGCCTTCCTTGGCTTCTTCACGGTTTTCACATGCTTCCGTGCGGGTGGCTCTGGCCATCGCCCAGGAGAATTCAGCAGCAGCGTAGCAGCAGCGGCGTGTGCACGGCCCCCCCGCACGGCCCCCCCCCCTTTCCTCGAGGCGAGGACTTTAGGAGTCCTCGAGCAGAGCATCCATTAATTGCCTTGCTCAACCTGTTTGACAATTTGCTACTTTTCTCTCGGTCCACTCCGCGTGGTCTCTTCTGGTCTGCATAGCGTCTTCGGCGTAGTGCACACCCCCGGCAATGATGCCCTCTGGCATCTTTTCGCGGACACCCGAGTTTCGAGTTCCGAGTTCCTCGTCGTCCTCCTCCTCTTCCTCCCCTAGGTTTGGCTTGGAGGGGGCACGTTTCGTCCGCCCCTTGGGGCGCGACAAACTGGCAGCAAAGCGTGAGCGTGCGCACTCGTTATCCCCCCCCCCACGCGGAAAAAAACCAGTGTGCAGGGCCTGTTCAGTTCGGAATTGAAGCTGTGTATTCCCCACCTTCAGGAATTCCCGCCTCAGGACCCCTCAGGACCAGGACGCATCGCGGACGGCATCGTCGCTACGCCCCCCTCCCTCTCCCCCCTTCCCCTCGGTGAGGACCGTCCTTAGGCTTCGCTGGTGAGGATCTTCAACAGACCTCACACCCCTCGCAGCTTCCATCAATGGTGTTGCTTGGGTTCCCGCCCCCATTAGTCAACCTTCAATTCTGCCGCCAGTTGGCACTGGAGGGGGACGAGGACCCCCGGCGGCCCCTCGGCCAACGAAGACGGCCGTAGTTGGGGGTGACCCGCACCTCCACCTCGAGGCACGTGCGCCACCACTTGCAGTGAGAGGCGCCAGTTGCCACCCACCACCTCTGTCCTTCCTTGGGCCGCGAACTGGATTTTTGTTCCCCTGCCGGCAGCTCAAGGCACGTGCGCCACCACTTGCAGTGAGAGGCGCCAGTTACCACCCACCATTTCTCTCCTTCCTTGGGCCGCGAACGGGATGTTGTTCCTGCTGGCAGCTCATTGTGCCTACCAGCGCCAGTCTTTTCAAACATGCTGGCATGTTGGCCACCCTCGCATCGCACTCCAAGGGTGACGGCTCGATCCGTGCCGTGGTGACACTCATGCGGTCGTGTCCTTCCCCCCGCCCACCAAGAGTAACGATTCGACCCGTGCCTTAGTGGCTCTCATGCGGTCGGACCCCGTCGCCGCCAAACCAGCGTGAAGGTTTGTTTCCAGGAACCCATTGGGTCGCATGTTTTGTCGTTTGCCAACACATTGTTTTCCCCCTGGACTGGTCGTTCCGATCGCGTTGGCACCTCTTCGTCCTGCCCCCTTCTGGTCGTCTTTGTTTTTCTGGCCGTCGTTTTCCCGCTCCGATTCTGGGCCCCCGCGTTTTTGCGGCTTCCCCCTTGGGTTTTTCAAGGCCATCACCCCCGCCCCCACCCCGCAGTGTGATCAGGTTCGAGTGACCATTAACCCGCTTCAGGACCTTACCACCGCCGTGGCAGCGCGAGAAACGAGAACACGCGCCCCCAGCCTCCTCTCTCCTCCTCCGCTCCTCCCCCTCGCACGTCTCCCTTGTCCTCGTCGTCGTCCTGGGGTCCTCCCCGGCGCGCCGGCACAACCTTCTTGTGCCCCCTGGCCCATTTTTCCCCCTCCCTCCGCTCGACGGGGGATCGCAAAGGACAGCGCTACATGCGTTGTGCCAGCTGTCGTGCCCTGGCCGCGTGGCTGATGGCGTCTGCCTTGGACTCTGGCTGGGGAACATAGCGGGCGTTTGGGTCTTGATTCGGAGGATGCTCCCCCCTCGGGCATGCTCTCGGCGCGGCGCGGCTACCCCCGGGGCCCTTGGTTTGCCCCTGGGGTTGGCACGGTTCGTCCGCCCTCGGGGGCGCCACAGATGGGCACCGGAGCGTCAGTGGGCGCACTCGTTGCAGCCGTATCCACTCAGGCGGGGTAGCGAGTGCGCAGGGCTTATTCAGGTCGGAGTCGAAACTGTGCATGCCGTTTTTGTGCTTTGCCCCACCTTCAGGAATTCCCGCCTCAGGACCAGGACGCATCGCGGACGGCATCGTCGCTACGCCCCCCCTCTCCCTCCCCCCCCCCCGTGAGGACCTTCAGCAGACCTCACACCCCTCGCAGCTTCCATCAATGGTGTTGCTTAGGTTCCCGCCCCCATTAGTCAACCTTCAATTCTGCCGCCAGTTGGCACTGGAGGGGGCCGAGGACCCTTTCTGCGGTCCCTCGGCCAACGAAGACGGGGTGACTCGTACCTCCACTTCAAGGCACATGCGCCGCCACCTGCAATTGGAGGCGCCACTTATCACCCACTACTTCTATCCTCCTCCTCCTCCTCCTCCTCCTCCTCCTCCTCCTCCTCCTCCTCCCCCTTCTCCTCCTTCTCCTCCTCCTCCTCCTCCTCCTCCTCCTTCTCCTCCCTCAAGCCACGTCGGCTCGAGCGCCCTAGTCGCGTCCGAGCTGAGCCGTCCAGCGTTTCCGCGGCGCTTGGGGGGCACCCGAGCCACGAGCCCGCCACGCGATACATGTGCCCGGGCTGACGAAAGGGACGGGTGGACTCTCAACGGTTACGGCATCTCGCGCGCCTGAACGTTCTCGGCGCCTTCCACGGCGTCAACGGGCTAGCTTATGAGCAGCTTTCCGCCCAAGGTTTTTTGCTCGTGGTTTGCGCCTCGCTGTACGTTGAGATTGCTGCGGTGGTTCCAGCGGCGTGCTACATGATGAACATGAACTATCGTTTCCTCGACTTCAGCGTGGTAGCCAAAGGGGTCCTCGACCCGTTCTCCGTCACGGACGCGATGGGGCCCCCCCCCTGCTGGCTCCCACGGCGAGAGCAAGCACAGGTGGATGCAATTGCACGCCACTCGCGTCAGGCAGGTTGGCCTCGTCATTTGTATGTTGCCCGCGTCCATGCTCGGAACTATTTTTTCTGAATCTACCACCACCTATGGTCCTCGGTGGTTGCCATCAAACTGTTAAGTCTGTTGAGGCAGTTTGTGTTTTGCACGCCGCTGTAATTTGGGAGCCTTGCCCCGCATCCAATGGTGTACAATATGCGCACCACCCCAAGCAGGGTTGAATGTCTCGGCTGTTCAGTTTTCATCCCAAAGCCAGGCGGGCAAAGTCTACACGTTGGATGATTCGCGGAGTTGGCGCTTGGCTGGTTCAGTGAGCTCTGCAACTGGACCCGCCCCGAGGCCTGGCTGCCAGTTCCCACAGAGGGGGGTGGACAGCTCCGGCACATGGCGAGCGGTAGGCACCTCGCAGACAAGGAAGTAGTGTGTTGGCTTTTGAAGGTTTGCGGTCTGTGGCGCAGCTTGCTCGACAGCTCACATTCGTTTGGCTGACCTCGTTGTGGCATGTGTGCGTCGCCCAACTCGTCCTGGCGCGTAGGCCTGGTCAGGTCCTTTTGGCACGAGGGCGCATCCCTGGCCAGGTATTGTCAGGTGCCTTCGCAGTTTGTGAAAGGCTAAGGTCCTACGTGTGCCTCAGTGTCAAGTCAGCGCCCTTGTCATTCGGGTTAAAGCCAATACCCGGCCGCGTCTTCTCACATGTTGCGGGCTGGAGCTTAAGTGTTCCTCCTCGTTCGGGTCAGGGGCATTTGCTCGCGGACTCGGTTTTAACGTAGTTTTGATATCATTATGTGATGGGGTCCACTCCACTCCACTCCTCCTGCTCCTCCTCCGCCTCCTCCTCCTCCTCTTTCTCCTCCTCTTCCTCTTTCTCCTCCTCTTTCTCCTCCTCTTTCTCCACCTCCTCCTCCGCCTCCGCCGCCTCCTCCTCCACCTCCTCCTCGTTCCTGCCTCCTCACTCTGGTCTTGGAGGGAGGCACGAGCGGGCCGACAGCGCGGCGGCGGCGGCGGCGGGTGCACGCGCGGGGAGGCCTGCGCCATGGACGTGCTGAAGGGCTGCGGCTGGCTGGTCTCCGAGGCGGCCGCGCACCTGCTGCGCAGGCGGGCACCGGGCGCCTCGCCCTTCTTCCATTCGTCGCCTCGCCTAATCGTCCTCTTCGTCCTCCTCCCTCCTCCTCCTCCTCCTCCTCCCTCCCCCTCCTCCTCCGCCTCCTCCTCCTCCTCCGCCTCCTCCTCCTCCTCCGCCTCCTCCTCCTCCGCCTCCTCCTCCTCCGCCTCCTCCTCCTCCTCCTCCTCCTCTGGGTGTCCAGGACCGCTGGCCAGGGGCGGCCCGTTTTTTTGCCGAGCCCCTGCCCCCCGTCTTTCCCAGGGCGAGAGTGCCACGGCGGCCAGCGCGCGCCGCCGCGATCGTTCAGCCTCTCCCCGCCTGGCACAGGCGCCTCCGCCGCAGGCGATCGGAGGCCAGGGCGCTGCTCGGGGTGGAGAGCGCCAAGTCCCTTGCTGCGAGGCCACCGCGGAGACGCGATCGACCCCGACATGCGAGATGCCAGGGTCTGGGCTTGCCGCGCGACCAAGGTGTGCGGCTTCAAGAAGAACTTCCCCAGCCAACACACATGCTGGACGTGCGACCGCGAGAGAGACGGCCGCCCGTCAGAGGCCAATACCAAGGATGGAACTGCAGACCCGCCCAAACAGGCGCCCTGGCGGATACAAAGCGGGCGCCCGTCCAGGTCTCGGGGCGCCGCGGCGGCTCGTGCTCCTCCTGCTGCTGACGCGTGGGACGTGGCTTCAGATACTGCCAGCGCGGCGAACTCAGAGGTCACCAAGTGTTGCTCAGGCGTCTCTATGCCAACGACGAGAGCAACGTGCTGGTGGCGGCGGCCAGAGATGCCTTGGCCAGGCTGAGGCAGCCGTTCGAGCGGAGCTGGCGCCGGACTGCCTCCTCCGCTCCGCTAAGGACCGCCTCGCCGTCAAGTTCGCCCATGCTGAAGAGCAGGAGGCTCAGATCGAGGACCTGGACGCGAATCTCACCGAGGCGAAGAAGCGCCATCAAATTGTCATATCGGAGGTCGGGCCCATCCGTGCAGAGGGTGCCCAGGCAGTCGCAGCGGCGGCGGCAGCCCTTGCGCAGCCAGCGGACACGGCACAGGCCGCGGAGGCAGCCTCAGCAATGGCCAACATCCAACGCATCCTGGCACAGGCGCAGTTCGCCATGCAGAACAACAACTCCAGGGAGAGCGTCGGCGCCCAGCTCCTCGACAGCCTCGCGGGGCAGCCCCTGCAGACGCAGTCGGCGCCAGCGCAGTCCAACGCAGCGCAGCAGCCCCTACAGGTGGGCCAGAGGCCTCAGCAGGCCACCCACCGCCTCCAGCGATGGATTCAGCGCCTGCGGCAGCTTCGCATCAGCATGGCCAGTCCTGTCGGCCCGCCATGGACGTCGATGGCACCGCCGCCATCGCCACGGCATGGGAGTACGCGGGCGAGGGCGGTGGGAGCTACTAGTCCACGACATCGGGGTCAGCGAGGAGTTCGGCGCCGCGGCCTTGGCTCTGTGATTCTCAACGGGCAATGCTGGCCTGCGTTGCAGCGGTTCCTGATTGAGGGCGCGGGGGATGCCGAGATCGCGGCGGCTCAGGTGCTCAGGATAGATGGAGGGCAGCTTGCGCGTGCGCGCGGGTGGGGGGCGGCACAGGGCAGGTCACCGTACATTGCACCGCGCAGAGGACTGGCGACGGGTTGTCCGAGCGCTGGCGCGGCCATCTTCGCCCGATCCAACGTTGCCACCGCGCTCTTGCGGAACCCCAAGGGCGAGGTCACATTCGATATCCTTCCAGGCTGGTCATCATGCCAGGGGGCTTCGTCGTCGGCTCCGTTTACATGGAAGCGACCTCTCGGATGTCGGACTGCATGACGGCCAGCACCCACCGCTGCTATGTCCCAGCAGACCACTTGCGCTACTTGGGGCTGCCATGCATCATCGCAGGGGACTGGAACTAAGAGCCCCCGGATTATCAGGTCCAAGGCTACGCCGACATGCTCCAGGGGGCCCCTTCTGCATTGCAGATGGGAAGGAACATGCCGATCGGCCTCAGGCAGCTACTCCACGCTGGACTACTTGATCACACCCACGGATATTCACACGGCATGCCAGCACCCTAGGGTTCTTGATAAGTGGCCATGTCGACCTCATAAGCTTGTGCCTCTTGACTTCGGCGCAGCCAAGGAAGATGCGGCAACTTGCCATCCAGGCCTCCGAGGCTTTCTGGAGGCCGTCGCCTCCGGCTCAAGGGCGCGACCCACTTCATGGGCCACCGCATGAGAACGACTCGCGCCAAGGCGCCCCCGCATCGGGCATTCAGGCGCAGCACAGGATGGACGCATTGCATTCCGCCCTGCTCACTAACGGTGAGAGCGACCTGAGTCACTTATACCAGGTCGGTCTGGATCAGCGGCTTCAGCACCAAGGCCGAGCTGACGCAGCGCGATACATTTGGAGGGTTATCGGCGCCCGTGGAGAGGGCCGCGCCTCGCGGCCGGCGGCGGAGAACGAACGATACATTCGTGTCTTGATCCAGGTGATCCTCGACGTGGTCCGCCACGCGACTGACCCAAACCTTGGCGCTGCGAGATGCCGCCCCATAGCCAGGACTCTCAAACCAGGAGGACATTCACAGCGAAGAGGGGCTATTTCTGCTGGACATGGCATGGCCCGTTGTCTACTTCGCCGCCCAGCGCGCGCCTGACCATGCTCGGGTGCGCCCGGAGGCATGCGCCTCGCAACGGCGGACAGCCAGATGGACGAGTGGAATGCGATCTGGGAGGGCACCCCGACCACCCTGAAGCCGACGCTCGACATGTGCAGCGACGGCGGAGACGTCGAGGACAATTTGAATTTGGGCCATGATGCGAAGCCAGGAAGAGACGTCGCATATGACATGCGACACATGCTAGACAAGGCTGACCAGGTCATCCAATAGGACATAGCTCGACTCCCGCCCAACGCCCTACGCGCCCCGATCATCGACGAGGTCAGGCATGCGGTCAAGTCTTCCGTTGGCGCACTGGGCCCGGACACGATGGTGTGCCGCCTCGAGCTTGGGCGCTGCAATCGGATTCAGCATTCGCGCTCATGTTGTGCGTCTTTTTGTGGGCTGCGGTGTCTTGTGCGCGATGGCCGCCAGCAATGTCACCCATTCTCCCGGCGCCCATGGGCAATCCGCAGGGAGGATTTCTTGTATCATTGCCGTCTCTGTGTCGGGTGCGCGCCAGGGTTCGCTTCCATCGCATCAGAGCGTGGATGGCAGAACAGGCACGGTCGTACGTTGCCCTGGGGAGCGCAAGTCGACGTTCCATGTTGGAGCCAGAACGCCACTGCACTGCGAAGCACACCAAGACAAAGCTGACACTGCGGTGCTTAAAGTGCTCATTGGCATCAGCGAGCGCTTTGACCGAGTCTGCTGAAATTGCGCGTCCAGGGCGGCGGCGCACATGGATTTCCCCGCGCCTGTGCTGAGGCTGCGCCGGGCAAGGTACTATGCTCCGAGGCGCAGCCGCTGGGGGGCTACGTACTCCTACGGTATTCAAGTGCAGCGGGGGATCTTGCCAGGGTGCTCGGTTGCGATGTTCATATTCCAAGAGGTGATGATGTTGTTTTTGACATATGCGAAGAGTTTTGGGCTAGAGTCGGGACACCACTCTTTGGACATCTACGCGGACGATATCGTGCTGCCGGTAGTGGCCGCCGGCCAGCACATCGCGGAGATCTCCGCGCGCATCGCCCATTGCATGGCTGCAGCGCCAAGGGCCATGAACCAAGCGATAGTGGAGAACAAGGCGAAGATCATGTCGTCGAGCCCCGTTATCGCGGTGCAGGTCGCGAAGGACGCGGGCCAACCCGGCGTTCGCACATGCTTGGCCTTGGAGATCCTGGGCAGCGGGCCTCGAGAAGGTGAATCCATCAGGTACGAGGCCATCCGCGAGAGCATGCGCGAGATGAGACCGCGTCTTCCGCGCTTCAAGCGTCTCATGGGCCCGGCCAAGATCCGCGGGGCCATCGCGCAACCATCCACCGGTCCTGCGATCTTGCGTGGCGCCCAGGTCGTGGGAGCAACGAAGTCCACCATCAGATCCATCACGGCTATAGTGCGCGTCGGCTGGTCGCGTGCGCCTCCTGGCTCCTCCTCATGGGTGGCGTCGCAGTTGGGGCCTCGTCGCCACCAGCATCCTGATGTGTTTGCGACGGTGGGACCGATATTCACATGGGCTACGCGGGCGCACGGCGCGGCAATGGGCAATGACGTCGCGCTGCAGGCCTTCAAACAGCAGCAGCACCGACGGGACAGCATGCAACCTTTCCAGGGGGCGGCTGGAACTGCGGGGGCAGCGCCGCGGGTCCCGGAACAGTTACGTCGGCGAATACTCGCATCCTTCCACTGGGCAACGGCGACGGATACTGAACTTCGGCTCACAGACACATCCCCCGAGTAGGTAAGGACGCTGGCGAGAAGAGCCCACGAGAATATCCGACGTGAGGAACGGGCCGCAGAGTCAGGCCACGCTCCTGAGATGGAGCTGCGCCGCAGGGATCCACGCGGCTACTGGATGGCCCCATTGCGCTTCCCCCTCGCCCCCCGCGAACAGAGCCGCCTATGGTATCTTTCTCTACGAGCCAGAGGGGCCCATCGCAGCGTGGTCATCGGAGCGCAGTAGCCACGGGCTCTCCTACGCAGACACGACTGCACAGACAGTGGCGAATGCTTGCTTGCATTGTGGCGACTGCGAAAGTACTACTCACCACAGACTCTGGGCATGTCCTGCACTGCAGCAGGAGAGGGTGATGGCGGCGGGCGCAGATACGTCGGGCGCAGCCCGTCAGGCCCCCACCAACGACCTGTTCTACACCAGGGGTCTTCTCCATCGAGATGCTCTGCAGAAGGTGTCGCCACCATGCGTGCAGGGGATATGGTGCTGCGCGCGCGGTGCTCAGATGGTCCAGATCAGGTGCTGTCTACGCGGATGGGTATGGACACAGCTTGGCGGGATGGAGCGATGGTTGTCGAGCTGGCTGGGGCATCGCAGCAGATGGACGGATCCTATTGCGC